ATAATATTTGACCAGAAATTCATTATCCATATATTTTTTATATATATTATAAATTTGTTATAAATATTGCAGACCAGTTATATGGCCTAGCGGCTCCGGCTCTATTACCAAAGGACCGTATAGATATTTATTATATACTTTTAAATGAAATATTGAGAAATATTGACGAAATAAAATGTGTATTTTCAGTTTCCGTATTATCACTGAAAAAATTTATTTTTCACTGCAGTGAAACATATTTTCCGTATTTTCACTGGTGTCTTGCCGGACTACTTTCTTTTAAATTCTGCCAGTACACTAACTCTAAGGGAAAGTCTTTCAAATTTTAATGTCAAAAATGAGAAAAATGTATATAATAAACAGAAAATTCAAGTTTTTTCCACAAATACATGATGTATTTTCATCTTGTGGCATGAAAATTACCATATTTCACTCGTGGCTACCGCCACTCATGAAATATTTATTTTCATACCACTCGATGAAAATAAATCATGTATTTATAGAAAAAACTTGAATATCCTCTATATATGGCCATATAATTTGTCAAAAATCTTTATAACTGCTGTAATATAAATTCGTTAAAATACTTTTGATAGGGTAAAGCGATTCTGGTTATATTTAAAAATAGCCGTTTATACAGGGCCATATAACATGTCAAAAATCTTTTTATCACACACCCGTGCCGATTTTGCGACTCCGTAAAAATGGTATTGCACGGCCGTGCATATATTTTGACGTGACGTCATTAGCGTTATACAAACATAATGTAAAGACGCGCTAAATGTTAGCGTTATACTATAAGAATCTTACACCGGCTGCCAGTACAGACCGGAATATCTAGCTCGAGGGTAACTGTTTACAGCGGTAACGAGGCTCTGCCGAGTTTCCGCTAAACAGTTACCCGAGAGCTAGATATTCCCGTCTGTACCGGCAGCCGGTGTTTGATTCTTTTTCTTGCATATTACATGTCAATTATTTTCGGAAAAGAAATTATGAAAACTGATATTCTCATTACGCACTTTTTTCTTATAGTAGCGTATGAACATACAATTTCATTCATAACTGAAAAATGACGTCATCTTAAGAAAGCGATTCATTCATAAAAGGCGCGCGTCAATGACGTCATTTAAAGCACGCGACTTGTCTTACATAGGGGTGTAAGACAGAGTTTTCTAGCACCGGTGTAAACGGTAGATAATGCTGTCTGAGATGCAAGAATATAGGCGCGTCAATGAAAAATGACTCTTATTTCACTTTAAATGGTCTGTATATTGGGTATGCGATAAATAGAAAATTAAATTCGCGTAAGTTCATTACTGAATTTATTGCACTCGCAGAGACTCGCATAATATAATTTTATTCAACTCGTGCAATAAATTCAGTATTGAACTTACACTCATTCAATATCCTCTATATAACTAAATTTAATTACTCCCCTTGAACATTTCTGTTTATTATACATATATCGCAATAAACTACTTGTACTTTACATGCAATGTGAATTTTTTACAAAACTGAAACCAAAGATTTCAACACAATCACTTTATTATTTAACATATATAAAATAACTATAATCTATTATGCAATAGTTTTTCCAGCCTAAACAAATTCTGCAATGTTAACGAACAAAAACACTTAATTCACTTAGTTTCAGACAAAAACCGAATACAAAATCAACTCTCTGATAAAATGGAAAGTTTAACATGTTTATATATCTGTCACTTTGTCTTGAATAAGTTCTTGATTTTATCTCTCTCTGTTAAAAAGACCAAAATGTTTAAAAAAATTACCTCTATAGATTAACAAAATGTACAATAAAAATGCAACAACTCCTGTCACAATTTAAAAGGCAGCACATACTACAAAAACATAATAATAGATTGGAGGATTTGCAAAAACTTCATTCAGCTGAAATAAACTTTACTCATTTTGAAAACTATGAAAGGAACAGTCAATGTAAGCATTTTCAATAAGTTCTTTAAACTATATGTGATCCTCATTTTCTGCCATAAAACAAAGTTTTAAAGGAACTTGATTGTTCACCTGATTTTGCATGAGACAAAAGATATAGATCTACTGGTAATTGACAGTATTTGATGATAAAATCTAATAGCAGGAAAATCGAAGTCGTTTAACTTTCTGCAATGTGAGACATTAAGTTTTATTCTAGATGTGACAATTATTAAATTGGACTGTCTGAAATATCTAACCAATATGTTGATATACAGTGACTGAGCGAACTTAAATCATTGGTAAAGTTTAAATGTTGGAAAGATTAATATTCATGGAATAAAAATAGTTGAAGCCCACGAGCATTTTGGAAAATATTGTGGATGCATCTATCGTTTAGGCTAAATGGAGAAGAAAATTCAAAATTTCTCATAAAAGGCAGAAACATTTAATACGCAGTTGTGGATTCTTTTACATGTTGGTTAAACACTGTCAAGTAAACATTCTAATGGAAGAAATCACAAAATAAACACTAGTATATGCTCTGACATCTACATTCAATGAACTCTGAAACAATTAAAGTATCTTAAACTACAACAACAGTTGGTTATATAGACGACAGTATATTAAAACAAGAAAGAACAACTATCTCCGAAATTCAAACATCCGAATATATCCATTGTTCAAAAGTTATATTTTATAAAATTTATAACGACTTTTTTCACGATACTTTATTAATATTTTTTTTGATAGCTCAAATAGATGATTAAAAATGTTTCAGAATAAGTACATTAGCCTTAAACAACACTACCTTCTATTTATTGCCATGTTTTTGAAAATATTAAAACAAAATAAAAAATTTTCTCTTTAGAATTACAATGCCCTATCTCCAGGAGTAGTGTTTATAACCATTTATATTTTAAAGGCGGTAACTATATATAATGGCATTATCTCTTTTAAAAGAATTAAAGGTTTTTCTTTGACTTACTGGCAATATTTCCAAGTAATTTATCAAATATGATACTAAAAAACTAACTTACTTATGGCAGCCACTTTAAGCAATGGTGTCAATGCTTTTTGACAAAGCAAAATCTGTCACATGACCTCGCACACAATAACTGATTGGCTGATGGACATGATAGGGCAACATAATAATTAATTCCACTATTAATTTCGACAGTGGAAAATGATATACATGCTATTATATCAAGCAGGGTAACCTCATACATAAATGGAAACCACCTGGAGATAGATCTTTTAATTCTGAATCCAGTGGTATATCATACACAATTTTCATGAAAATGGAGATAGGACCTTATAATACTAGCACGATGTTTATAAGTTGTCCTCCTCGTACTTTCCTACGAGTTCTTTTATATTTTTAGGCAGATAGCCACTTTGGGTCAAATTGAACCCATGATGCCATATGACATTCTTATTCACTGTGATATAAATTGGGCCCTTGTTTTTCCTGTATGCCGGAGTCCAGGTTGTTGTCTTTTTTCCCCAGTAGGGTTGCAACTTCAACCTGTTCTCCGGCAGAATTTCAACAACACGGGCTACTTGAGGCCAGTCCTCAGGTGACAGAGGTGTGTCAGTCAAAACCAGGTCGCCTTCTTTGATTTCCTCATCAATAATATGAGTCTTTTTTCCAATTACAACCTGTAAATTTTAATAAAAATAGTGCAGTTTATTTTTAAATAAAGTGACATATTTATTGTTGCCAAATGTGAAAACAATTTTTCATCACATCACAATAATCATTAACAACATTTAAATAAAAAAGCAACATAATTCTGCATTTAACCAAAGTTCATGAATAATTGAAACGAGGACATAAACACTACTGTATTGTACTGTAATGTCTGTTTTTAATGGATGGGCATTCGCATTACATTTTGGGTTTTATATCGCGTTTTATCATTTTTCATAACCATATGTGTGTCTGTTCTTCTGTAACAATACTTCTTCGGAGAAAATGCTGTGGATGGGATGTCATCAAAAGTTATAATTCAATTCGTTCATTACGGTGCATAATTATTGATATTAATTAATCAATATTAATGTATTACATGTATTAAACTCTATCTTAGAGATTAAATAACAATGATTTATTTCATTCAATTGTTATTGACAATGTCTTTATTTATTTTAGAACTGTATGTTAGATCTATACTTTTGTTGGCGTTTTAACAATTTCTATACTGTTTGTCAATCTTTACACTTACTATATTTATAACCGCAATTCAAATTCACGATTTTTTTAACCCTGAACCTCCTAAAATCTCTGAATAGACTAACCCGAAATGCAAAAATACGGTTCAAGGCTAAGAGTCGTATAGCATGACGTCATAAATAAGTTTGTGCCGTGTGCAAATTTGATTGACACTTTTTGTAGCATAATTTCGATCACATGACTTTTGTTTACTGAGCATCTATTGGTCAATGTAAGTTTTCCCCGCTCTTTTTTTATCGACCGAGCTGCGAGCTGGTTTAGTATCATTTAGAAATTTAATACCATTGGAATCACATGGCGATCTCCAGAAAAAAAAAAGTTAAAAAAAAAAAATTTCCATACAAGGCAAATGATGATTGAAATTTACATCAAAGATTGGTAAGTGTTTTTATATACACTTAACAAATCTTATAAGTGTGCATGTATAAATATCTAATAATGCGAGTCAATGTTGACACTATCATGCTGAAATTTTCAATAAATACAGATGAGAGACATGGTATGATATTCTATTTATTTAATGTCATAACAAACACAAATTTAACAAGCATGTCAAATAAAAGTGATTGCGCGTAAAAACTAAATGTGGCAAAATTATGATATCTGTGATCTTTTTTTCTTAATCAACATATACCGACGTTGACTTATATAACAACATCGCTGTTTCATTTATCGTTGTACATTTAATTTTGTGGTAGATGTAAGTCTTAAGAAATCTTGGCTCGTTACTAGGCAAGGTCTGTTGCAATCCACAGGGAAATTCAGCAAGACTGTTTGCACTAACAATGGGTTCATTAATCGTTTATAAATAGTGATCTCAGCGCTGATCATAACGAATATGATGAGCTTTAGTAATATCTAAAGAACAACATATGATGCAGTTTCTTCAGGATATCTAACAAACACACGTCCTGGGCGCCAACTATCTTTCTGAACATTTATTAACAACATTAACTTTATGAAATATCACCAATATCTCTGGACTTAAATGTGATAGAAGCTACACGGAAATGTCAAAGAAGCTTTATGGGGTTAAATGAACGGCATCTTAAGAAGTTTTGGTACTGTGCCACAAACTATCGCCTACGAATATGCGAAAAGTGTCCAAAAGTGAATAAATCTAACTATATATTACCAAAAAAAAGATTGGGTCAAATCCATGCGACAACGCTGCTTGAAATTAATGAATGTTGAAATTAACAGTCCAGATGGCCATACGACATTTGAATAATTTTTAATGGTCATTTTTTGCGACATTGGCTTATAACGCATTATCACATTTATTGGGCATGTTCATTAAATATGTGTTTCTGATGAAATTTAATAAATGTAATATCATATCATATCTCTCAACTGTATAAATTGAAAATTTCAGGATGATCATACCAAAAATGACACACATATCAGACCATTTATGCATGCACACTTATAAGATTTGTTAAGTGTAGATTCTATTTGACAATTAAATATTTCACGGCACAGGAGATATAAAATGTTTGTTTACTGACCGGCAAAATTTTTTCATATGTCTGGTGTTTCAGCAAGTTAGATAATTTTTTGAAAATTTTGAGGCAATCGAGCATTTGAAAAATATTTATTTTGAATTTTAAAAATATACGATTGGAATAAATGTTATAGCAATCTCAAGGTTTTGGGCTAGCTTTGTGAATGCGTGTACTACTGGTCGGGAACCATTAACTGGACACTTTTTCAACAGTTTCTATACATATTTCATAATTTCAAACCTAGAGAGCTGAATACCTTTAATAATTGGGCTACTGGCATGCGAGCAGTTCCCGTACAGAAGCAGTACCCGTATTTTTCCTTTAAACGCTTGATTTTTACTTGCATTCTTCAAAAATTCATTTCAAATCAAACAGATACATAAACGAGACAAAATCTAAGTGTCAGTTCGGCAGTATGTATATAAAGTCTCATTTTAAATCACTTTCACCTGTGCGTCGTCAAAACGTGACCTTGTTTTCTCTGGGGGATTTCGTCCTTGCGCGCATGGCCATGCGCAAAAATACTTACACGCGAGGCTTGTTAAAGGGTTTTCCACTAATACCACCTGTTTACAAATAAGTAGGCAATGTGATGTAAACTTGTTTAATTATCAGAATGTTGACCAATATTACAATATATAATAATTTTATGGCTTTGATGCGTTAAATATCATGCATACAAGCATGCTATTGCATGTGAATGCGTTGGGGTAACGGTACCGGGTAATTGATACCCGCGTTTAGTCTACGCTCTATTTCCTGAATTACATCTCTTAGATAATGGTCTGTTCAACAATTGTAAATGAAAAATAGGTCCGATATAATAAAATTGTATAATTATAATTGGTTAGATTTTATGTACGCGAACTACTTCTCTTCATACAAAATAATGGATAATTTCCGTACCCCATATGAGGCCTCATAAGTAAGGGTTATTCTATGTTTAGAACATCATGGAATTTCCATGATTTGTGTGACGAGCTGAATATTGATGTGTAACATTCAAATTGTGGTGAGTGAGCGTAATAAAAAATAATGTTTAAGTAACTGTGATTTTTGTACGGGAACTGCTCGCATGCCAGTATATGTAATAAATTATTAACACTAAAATTGGTACTTACTTGTGGAATGGGCTCATCTTCTGGAGTAAGGTGCTCAACAGGCTCTTCCTGCACTATTGCATCGCACTTCTTTTCCCTAAGGTTTTGAATTAATGACAGTGGCGGTAATTCATCATCATCTGTTTGAAAATAAATAGAGAATACTAAATTTAATGAACAAGTTGAATAAAATCATATTCTCCAAGCCTCTGGTGAAGAAATTATTTTATTCAGAGTTCAATAAATTTAGTATTGAATCTACACATAATTGAGCTGTGTCACGACAAAAACAACATGATTGGTTTGCACCCAAAATGGATCCAGACCAGCCTGCGCATCCGCACAGTCTGATGAGGATCCATGCTGTTCGCTATCAGTTTCTCAAGTGGTAAAAGGGTTGGTAAGCGAACAGCATGGATCCTGATCAGACTGCATTACTTTAATTATAAAAGACTATATATTTCATATGCAAAGGTTTGCTAGAAATGAATCGTGCACTAAAACAAGTAAACAAGTTTATTGATTTAACTGCTGATTAGCAATATCGTTTTTTACTTGCCGTTTAGCTTTATATATTTTTTTTCTTTATTCCTTGAAAAATACATTATATAAATATGGAGAAAATGCCCCCTATTTCATTTAGTGTAATTCTTTAAAATTAAAAAAAAAACTATTAATAAGAATGACCAATTTAACTGACAAGCAATCCGCTGTACCCTTAAATCCACTATTGCGTAAGCAACTGTAATGATGTTAAATTGAATTATTACCTTCCTCTTCTAATTCTGATAAAAAGCTGTCCCACCAGGATGCAATTTTTTCTTTGTTGTAAAACCTTTTTTTTTGTAATAAATAAAAAGAAATTAAATAAGTATTTATATTACAGTATGGAATATTAAATTTGAAAATGAAAAAGCTTTACATTATACTTAGGCCTAAAAAAAAAAATGTTGTGTTTCCGGTGGCTCGACCGACCCTATTTTTTAGCGCCGACCCAAAGATTTTTATCGATGTACAAAAAAAAAATGGCGCCCGTACCGAAGACTGGTTTTAGTATTGCCAGTCGACAACGATGTGAGGCACAGACGATTCGTGTTCCAATTACGCATTAACGCGCACCGGCTATTATGGCGGCACAACAAGCAGCCGAAGTGTCACTGCTGGCGATTTTCTTTAAAAATACGATCATAGTTTGGCAAAACAGGAAATCAAATTAATTGACCACAGCAAAACAGCTCAAAACATTTTTCGGACGTGCATGGTCATGTTAAGAGTGATAATATTAAAATTGATGCCAGTTGTTCGGTAAGATATTAAAAAAAATGAAAACGAAAGTCGAGTCATGCCATTGGTAAAATTTATTTCAAAATAGAAGATTGAAGACTAGGTTTGGTAGTTTAACATTTTTAAGTACTTTTATATGCTATAGAATATAATTTAAAGTCCATATAATCCGTATCTGGACATATCTACAATCGTTGATTGACTGAAAAAAAAAAAAAGTCCGACCTACCGACCGACCCTACTTTTTTTCGCCTCTACACCATAAACACATCACTTTTTTTTTTTAGGCCTTAATTCTTCTATCAGACTATTACACAATATATATGAACAGCTGAAAAATGTAATCCTCACATATGCCTTAATCATTGTTTTATTGGAAACTGAGGAGAAAGCAAATTTAACCACCAAACATAAAGTCCAACTTGACGTGTTAAAATTGAAATAGATATTTATTCTTTGTGCAATATTTTATAATAATGCATATTTTTTTTCGTTCAAATGCTTTGTAATTAATCATTACTACGCATTTGAACACTCTTATTGCATATTATTCTACAACATTGCACTCAGAATTGATATCTATTTCCTAAATAATTTCAGTTAATTATTTATAATTGCATTAGTGTTATTGTGATCAGTTTATCATAAAAATGCTTTGTAAAATTTCACGATTAACTTACTAAAATTGAAAAACAGCATAAATATCTTTATCAACTGAATACGGTTTTAGCACAGAAATCATTTAGATATTTAGTTAAAGACGATGTATTTTTACTAAACTTTTAAATACATGTCCAATTGCTCTGAAAACCATATCTGGAACCCATTTTACATTAATTCATGCAAAAGTGAAAAAAAATTTCAATGTTTAGATTTACCTTGCCACTTGATCTGTGTCGTGTCTCAATCTCTCGAAATCTAAATTGTCAACATTTGGTTTGATTTTTAGCTCGACTTTTCTATGAAAAGGGGAGCTATCCTACTCGCCCCGGCGTCGGCGTCGGCGTCGGCGTTGGCGTTGGCGTCACACCTTGGTTAAGTTTTTCGTACCACCCCACTTTATTTCAGAAGTATTACAAGTATGGCTTTGAAACTTACCATACTTGTTCACCATCATAACCTCCATCTACAGACAAGAGTACATAACTCTGTCAAGGTTTTTGACAGAATTATGGCCCTTTTTTGACTTAGAAAGTGTATTGAGCTTGGTTAAGTTTTTTGTACCACCTCACTTTATTTCAAAACCATTGGAGGTATTGCTTTGAAACTGACCATACTTGTTTACCATCACGACCTTCATCAACAGACAAGAGGACATAACTCTGTCAAGGTTTTTGACAGAATTATGCCCCTTTTTGACTTAGAAAATACATTGAATATGGGTAAAATCCACTTATTGCCTTAACCCTTTGAGATATTGCTTTGAAACTTTTAATGCTATTTCACATCATTACCCCCATCTGTACGCAAGAGAAGGTAACTCTGTCAAGGATTTGTTTTAAAAATTAAGGCCTTTTATCGACTTAGAATCTTGGTTAAGTTTTTAGTACCAGTCCACTTTTTGACTGAACTGTTTGAGATATTAATTTGAAAGTTGGAATACTTGTTTACAATCATGATTCCCAAACATGTCCAGGAGAAGGTAATTCTGTCAAAGATTTTATTTGAATTATGGCCCTTAACTGTCAATGTTTTGTATTATAGGCAAGCACTAAAAAACTTAAAAAATCTAAAAAAATTCATTCCTATCCACTGAACCTGCAGTGTTCAAGGGTATCACACAATTCAGTAAAATAATTCTTCACTAAATATCTTAATGCTCATGGCCATTGTTCACTTTAAAAATACAGAGATTCTTGTATTGCCTTTTACTGCAAAAACTTTTTTTATTGGCAAGCAATAAAAAAGTCGAGCGCGCTGTCTTACGGACAGCTCTTGTTTTAATTGGACCATCATCCATATCTTGTAGTAAGTACTTGTCACTGCCTGTGCTTGTTATCCATTTCTTTGAAATAGTAAAATAGTCCTTGAATAATTATCTAAAGTCAACATTGTTCAATGTTTTAGTATAAAATTGTCTCTCTTTTAAGTTAACAAGATTCAAGATTAAAGTAATAATTTTCATGTGATTTTAATACAATTTTTTTCTAAATTTCTACATGTATTTCTAACGCAATAATGGCCTTTTTTTTTCTTCATATTTTGGCATTTTCAAGTTTTGGTAATTAACATTTGGTGTAATTGCTTTTGTTGAATCTGGCAGTCTGATCATAGGCCATATGGGCCTTTAACTTTGGCAGAAGTATAGACCAGGACAAATAATCATAGGCCCAAAACATTTTAAAATTTATTGTGCAAAATAAATTACATTTTATTTGTATCGAGATGCAATTTAGGCACAATTGCATGGATTGTCAGTCTGCCACTTTTCATAAAAATTCTTTTTTTCTGTTTTTATTTACTTTTCATCATTACTTGTCAATCTACTGGTTTTCACTATTTGTTTTAACTATGAAAAGAAATTATCAATATCAACAAAGCAAGTGTTGCATTCACTGTTTCCTGGTTTCGCTTGAAAATGATGTATTTGATTAATAACTTTTTAATTAAAGGACTAAATAATATTGTATGTAAAATAAATAATATTGTATGAAAGATAAAAATATACTGGTTTCCTAGCAGTTTCCGTCCCCTAGCAGTTTTCTGGTCGTTTATCATTTTCGTCCAGTAGTCTATTTTTACCAGTAAGGCATCCACATTACTTCATCAATCAGAGAGACATTTGATTTCTATGCTAAACAGTACAATGATTTATTTGTTTTGAAGTTTTTCCTTTTATTTAAAGTTACATTTGTAAGAGAACTTGCGACTTTCAAAAATAAGCAACACCTGGGGAATTCTAGTTTGAATATCCATGCGCAATAACTTAACCCCATTTTAGGTAAATCAATACTTCGGAAAATATTTTTGCAGACGACACGGAAAAGGTTGGGAAGTTCTGTTTGTCTGATAAAACCATCTTAACCTTTTACCCCATGAGCATATTGCGAAAAATGGCCGTTTTCATTGAAAAGCCTCCTGTAACAAGTTCAAACTGCTATGAAACTATGAAAAATGCTTCAATACTGATGAAACTTGGCACAAATGTTGACTACACCATAGCCTCTGTAACAGCATGCTCAATTGTAAATTTCCTGTTACCATGGCAAGGGGGGGACATCTCAAATTGCCAAAAATCACTATTTTGCATTGTTTTTTTCCATCAAAACTGATTTCAAAGTGCTGCAACTTCTCAATGAATAGAGATAGAGTAAAAGGCTTTTCAGCGTCGGTTACTAGTTACCCTAAGATCGACCTGAGGCCATTTTAAGCTTGTCACATGTCCAATATTTTCTTGGCGATGAGGGGGACTCTGCCCTCCTCCAAACCCCCCAAACAGAAGGGGACATATCCCCCTTCTGGCAACCCCCTGATGTAACATTTGGATGGGGGACCGCGCCGAAAAAGTGGTCACTTTTTTTAACAACATTTCTCATACGAAAAACAGTGTTTGGGACCTAAATAGAGCATTTTTTTCACTGTTTGAGGCCTTAAAAAGGGAGGGGGGGGGGGGGCGAAAAGCCGTCGAAACACGCTTATATGAGGGAAAAGGTTAACATTGCTTTATGGTATAAATACTTTTAAGGAAAATCAATGATCCTGGGGTGGGGTCAATTTTAACCCCAAGGGCCCTTATTTGAACAAAAATGGTAGACACCTATTAGAAGATGTTGATGCTAAATATCTTAGCTCTAGCTCTAAAGGTTTTTTAAAAGAAGATTTTTTAAGTTTTTGCTATAAACATAAAGGGAAAAAGAACGACCCCCTGGGGTGGGGCCAATTTTGACCCCAGGGCTTTTATTTGAACAAACTTTGTAGACACCCACTAGAAGATGTTTCATGCTTAATAGCTAAGCTCTAGCTATTTGGGTTTTTTAAAAGTAGATTTTTTAAGTTTTTACTATATACAAATAAGGAAAATCAATGACACCCCCCCCCCCGGGCGGGGCCAATTTTTGACCCCAGGGCATTTATTTGAACAAACTTGGTAGACACTGACTAGATGATGTTTCATGCCAAATATTTAAGCTCTAGCTCTTACGGTTTTCTAAAAGAAGATATTTTAAGTTTTTTCTTTTTGTTGCCATGGTTACCAGAGTTCTGCTTGGAATTTAATTCTTTGAATAATTTTTAAAGTTGACTACCAAAGGAACATTTCTGTGAAGTGTGAATGAAATTGGCTTAGTGGTTTATGAGGAGATGTCATTTAAAGTTAAAGTTTACGGACGGATGACGGACGGACGAAAAGCGATCACAAAAGCACACCATGGCACTTTGTGACAGGTGAGCTAAAAATTTTCTCTTATTTGTTGATTTTATCCCATAATTGGATGGTTTCTTTTCAAATAAGCAATTATATATATTTTGAATATGTTCCATTTGATTCTAGCATAATACGGTCAGTTTTAGTTTTATAAACAATGAAAATAAAATCGGGATCAACTGATCCTGATCCTGATATTTTTTTTGTGAACACGGGGCCAGACGTTGGTTCAGTATTGATTCGTCCCTGAAAGTTTTGTATTTAAACAGTACGAAAATTGAAAGGGCGGATGCATCGGAAATCATGGTTGGCTAAACGCATCTTAAGATAAACAAAGCACAACAGGCAAAATTTTAGCATCATTATGAGAAGAGAGGAAATAATACCTTATTAAAGGCTTAATTAGAATTGTGAAATTTTATCAGAATTGTGAATGGGTCCGTTATTCGGTACCACTTATATAGGGAAAAAAATTTCTGAATGATCATACACCGGCATAGTTCTCAATTACAATATCATTACCATACTATTATATTTAAAGGCTATACGGAATTGATGAGTATAAACTTAAATTACTTTTGTATGGGCAGCCTCGATTAGTCCTTGCAGCCTAACACATGCGTCTTATTTTCCTGTGCTTCAACTGGGCAAAATTAGTACATGTATTTAATGGTGTACTTTATGTGACCTATTGATTTTAGGGTCACAAGGTCAAAGGTTAAGGTCATTATTAATAACTTAAGTATTAATCAACCTACATCTGTAAAATTTTATAGGATGAACAGCTAATTCCCATGTCTTACAAATGCTTCATCCTTACAAAAAAAAAACACTTTCGGGCATATAATGCTCCGCCTAGCGATGCTCTTGTTATATAATAAAATAATCAACTTAGTCAGTATGTCATCTGTCGATGAATATCACATCATATTCAATGGCTCACTAGTCAATAATAGTATAATATTGAATTTACTGTTCCATCTATTGGTAATTTTAATGTTATCATTACAACAATTATTCCTGAAAGATCAAATCAGTTGCTATGTTATTAGACAATTGGAAAGGTTCCTTATTTGACTGTAATATTTTTAAATGTTTACAAATTTATTTTTTTTAATTTATTTACTTTTTTTTTAATTTTTTTATTTTTGCAAAAATATGACTATAAATAAGTACGATATCACATCATGGTCATGTATGGTTAGGAATTGGTAATATTTAATCAGTGTCTGTTCACTGAGTGGGGATTGGGGTTTCACCAAAAATTTTGAGAATCCCTGACCCAACCTCTCCTCCCCGGCAGAAAAAGAAGCAAAAAGATCAACAAAAGTAATAGTTTCTCACTTTTCATTAATAATCACCTCATTGTTTTTTCAATACTAGAAACAATACATAACTATTTGACCGTTTTTTTGGGAAAGTTCATATATATATATATATAGCAACCAAAAAAAGTCAATTTCTGTTAAACTCTCTCTTTTATATTTGCCTTAAAACATTTTGGACCATTTCAAATAAATATGATACTTAGCAAAATACTGCGTGCTGCATGAACTCTAGATGTCCTTGTTTATTTTATTAATT